TCATTTTAACAGCTTCATTAGAAAGTGACTGATGATTATTCCAGCAAGAAGGATGATGATCATGATTATTAATGCCAAACCACGCCATACAGCCAACTGTGGTACAGACAGAACATCTCCCACTGTGGTGGTGGTGGTGGTGGTGGTGGTGGTGGTGAAGGCTCTACTGCCTGAACTGGCTACAGTTGGGTCTGTGTTTCCTCCCTCAGCACTCAAACACGCAGACTCAGCTCCACTGACCTGGGCCTGACTCTGATGTGAATCTAGAGGTTTGGGGCAGTTAGAGAGAGAGAGAGAGAGAGAGTACTTGAGATTAACCCAAAACGTTCATGCGAGCCTCAAAGCAAGACTGTTTCTTATTACCAGTTCTTACCTGAGTGTTCCAGCTCAGCTGTTGCATTTTCCTTTGTGATGTGAACCCCTGCTCTCACAAGAGCCTGATCACAGACATCAAAGACACTGATTGTACATTTTAGCTTCAAATAAGAAAGCTTTAAACTTAAAGCAACTGATGTAGCTACTCACATCTTCTGAAGCCTTTTTCCAATCAAGTTTGCACAAAAAAGTGACGTAAAATATCATCTGAAGTAAGAGGCAAATGACAAGTCCTGTCCAAAGTCCTGTCACCGATCCAAAAAATAAAAATAAAAAGTTCCTGAAAGCTGCTAAACAAATCCTCTGAGACAGTAACACACACACACACACACACACAGTTTGGTTTTACCTACAATCCCCATGTTTGCTGCGAACATCAGGGACACACCAATGGGGAAGCCAATGAAGTAGAATGCAACAAAATTACACAAAGCACCAATCAGCTGTTTCCCCACACCTCTAAGAACACCTGCAGCCACGCCCTGCAAGTATCAAACACTGGTCATGTGGATGTCTCACGTGCTTTGTGAATGGTTATTCTGCATGATTTCTCACCGCAATGGCATCACAGATGTGCATGAATCCAAATATAAGCATGACATCAGCAACCCTCTGAATGATGTCTCTATAAAGATATAGAAATAAGACCTTTAAAAGGGTTTTTAGAAACATACTTTAAATTGATATTCATGCTTTCAATGTAACATCTATCTCTAGTCAGCAAGCCAATAAAAGGAACAAGTTCAACTGCAGCAGTCAAACTGCATTTGAACCTGACATTGTTATTCCTCACTGCGGAGTTTATTGAGCGTGCTTCAGCTGCTTGACTTAATTATTTAGTAAGACCATAACATTAAACATAATAAAAAAGTGGCAATATAGTTTATTATTAAGTGTTAGTTTTCCTTCCTTGATTCCTTGAAATTGTCCACTCTTCGTCTAAGGTCCAGTTATTCATGGTTGAGCCCAGGTACTTAATGATAAAGGCAATTTGAAAAAACCAAAAATAGACAGTCTCGAGTGTTTATTGAATATACCGAGTAACCACTCACACTGCAAGCTCATAAAAGCAACTGATCTCTTTCATTTAGTAAATTGTTGAATCTCCCTTTTGGAGCAAGAATCTCAAAACTAGTTACAGACATTTACTTGAACAACTTGTATGATTTGCACAATCGCAAGGATGGCTACTGTGTCAGTTCTCCCAGTTTATAAATAATTGTTATAATTAAACAGCCATTTTCAGGGAATGCCACAGGATTGGCTTCAGTTGGGTTAAAATCAGCACTCTGACTTGGATTTTCAAAAACCCCTATATGCTTTCAGTCATCATCTTGCCATCATCTTTACAATATTCAGCTCATGCTTCACCCCTGTCACATTCTCCTATAAATCTGCTTTTAATTAAGTTGGAATTGTTTAAAAGGCCTCTGGCCCCCGAGAGAACAAGCCTCGAAGCATAATAGCACCTCCACCGTGCTTCACACATTAGGAAGATTTAGTGTTTTGTGCCACCACACTTTTTGCTGGGCTCTTGGG